AAAATGTTTGTGGCTTTGACGGTCTCACGTTTGGTTTTTTAATTTTTTTTTGCTGAGCTTGTATTATATTTTCACGGAGTTTAACTGCTACCAATCAACGTTTTTTCTGCTGCACTGCAATATCATTGTTATTCCAACTAATATAAATGAGAAGGTTTAAGCGTCCGTTTAGTAACAGCTGACACTATTGTCGTTGTTTTGTGTGGTAAAGCAGTCATGTCACATTATTCATGACGCAATAGAACTCAGAAACTTTTTGTTGGAGATCCTGCTTTTCCGCCTATATGTTGGACGTCATGCGTAGGTTTCTGAAAACTTAAAGGCCTTCTGTTATGGCCTTGAATAACAATAAATCTTCCTTGAGAAAAGAGCTTTAGGATAACTACAGCAATTATCAGGCCAAATAAGAAAAATGTCGATCTTTGCACATTGGTAATTGGGAAAACTATAGTTCCTGACCAGTGGACAGCATGAAGTACCATCAAAGATATGCCAGAAGAGTATCAGCACGAGTCTATTAACCACAGTCTGCACTTCACTGATCCTGAGATCGCTGCTTGAACGAACACCATTCACTCTGTATTGCAAAAATTCAAGGAGAGACATGAATTCGTGAATGGTGTGGGACACAAAGGGTACTTAAATTCGTATATGGACAAATTCGTATGGAAGAAGGTATATGGAGACTCCGTACAATTTTTGGTCACAATACCGGAACACCATCCACCTCCTCCGGGTTAGGTTTGAAAGCGTGGCCTTCTTCACTGGCTCACCATCGGTCTGGTTTCTGACAGTCCAATTTTTGGAAAGTTTTTTGTACGACGAGCGCTACTGCAGTTTTCCTCTTAGGCCTGAAAACTGCAGAAAAAAGTGAAAAATAAAAAGTATAAGTGTAACATAGTATAAATGATTAACTACATGCAAAACAAACACCTCTCACCTTAGCAAATACAAGCTACCAATCTTCACTCCAACTCTCATAGCACACACCACCGCACGTCGCACCACTTTTGCAGGTGGTTTCTGTAGGGCTACACATACCCGTTTTTGCCACATTATTACATTGTTCTTCAGTTGACCGTTTTTACCTCAAATTTGCGTAATTAAGAATTTTTTGCATAACTGGCTTGACGTCATTGTTCCAACCATCTTATGCTACTGTTTTAGATTTCTCACCAACCTCTCTGCCTTCACATTGTTACAGAAAGTAGAACCAGTCCACAATTTCTGACTATTATTTATAAATCTGCGACTGCGGAGCACATGTTTTCAGCGCCATAAAGGGACCTCTCAATTCCCAGTCGAGGTTGACACGACCGAAATACCTCCTCGACTGCATCAAGCTGCGATGACAGCAACATCGCGCTTGTGACAGTTTGCAAGTACGTATACGGGCACTTCAGTATACAAGAGCTCCAGGAACCTCTAAGAATTAGTATTACGCAAAACCCCCGAATAGTTCACAAATTCTCCCACAACTTTGCAAAAACTGTTTCGGACACAATTAAAGACATAAGATAAATTAGACAAACGCAGAAACTGCACGTAACGCAAACAGCCAAAAAAGGAAAAAAACTGATCAAAACCTTAGCCCCGATAAAGTTATAATTTTATTCAAACAAGTTATATGCAAAGTAGCAAAGTGCTGGAACTGTGCTGTTGGAATTGTGCCAGTTTGCGCGTTTTCCGCTACAGCGAATCGAATATTGATTTGGCAGTGGAAACGCCTCTACTTTGGGTCATTGCCACTGGTCACTCCGTTCGGTTATTCGCTTGAAACTTTAAATCCAGTGTTTTAGGGTCAAAATTATTTGAAATGGCACTAGTTTCCTAATCAAAGTAATTGGAGTGATATGATAGGCTTTTGTGCAATGTATCGCTGTAAATTTAATATATCCTGGTTTTATAAGTTAGATTTTTCAAGTTTTATTGCCGTTGTTCACCTTTTTTTCTTTAAAAGTAGTTGCTTGATCTATGGA